GGGAGGGAGAGGGGGAGGGGGAGGGGGAGGGGGAGGGTGAGGGGAGAGGTGGATGAAGGGAATTGGGGTGGAAGATGGAGGGTAAGTCACTTGCCTTCTAATGTGTTTTAGAGAATGCATTAAAGGGGTACAATCGTTTCCTCTGAATGTACGCCCATTACGGCAAAATCTATAATTAGACAATCAGGGCACTCCACCTACTTGTCTACCCCTCGTCCCCATTGTCTCCGTCTACCTCACCAATTCTGCCACCCTCTCTTTCCCACCCCCTTCCCCTACTTCTCCATTTACTGCCATCTTTTTAGGCACATTTATGGCAAAAAGTAGGCTGTGGAGACTTATTTTAAGGTTCTCAATGTGGGATTGCCGATTGGCGAGGCAATTGACCCATATTTCTGTCTGGGTGAGGCTTTTAATTCTAGAATAAAAGAAAATCTTAGGCATTTCTATCCTTCCTCTGGCAACTAGTTCTACTCTTTAACGACTTCAGCTTCATATACTAATGTCCGACGCTTCTTGTCTTTTACATTTTGACGTGGCTATTCAATGAACGCGTCGTGGACGACGAAGGGACTATGTAGCAAGCTTTACAAAGACTGGAAACGGTTAATGTTAACAGGGGAACAGCCAAGGGAGAATCGTCAGTGCGGCAACAGGTTTGGATCTAGTCAGTTATCAAGGCGGAAGTCACTTTATGGGGTGACCTCTTGTCTACAGACGAGAATAATTTAAGTTGATTTATCTAACTATTGGTAGTGTTAAACGTTATTTTCTTCACAAACGTACACTTGAAACACAAAAATCTGTGGGCTTCGATCTTGCCCTCGATTTATCAAAAAATCTCACTTATGAAGAGTTTCAAAGGGACAATTTGCCAGGAGTATTGAGATTAGTCATCAAGGTGATAAGATTGCATGTGAAGGTCACATTCAATTTACGACTATCCTTATGCCCTGTGACGGGCAGGATGGTGATCAGGTACCTAGAAAAACTGAGACAGCCAGACAGGCGGATACGCCTTTAAAGTCTCCCCTTGGAGTAATTATTTCCTACTCCAATAACAACAACACTTAAGACGAGGCCTGCAAAGTTACCACCTCTAAAAGTCGCGTCTGCTCCCAAACCAAAAACACCTTTTTTAATTTACGAAAAAGTGAAAGGGGTGGGTGGAAAGACGACTTATCCGTATCTTGTAGCAGGGTGTACTCAAATTTTCACTTGCTGATCCAAAAGGAGGTTGACATTACCTTGGTACTGATTTTTCATTTAGAATGTCGGTTGGTCTCCTATTCTCTGTCTCTCTTGATGTCTATTTGGCCATCATCATGACTCCATTCCTCTTTCATTTCTGAGCATATAACTGGAGACACTCAGAGACGATGTTATGCAATGAGAAAAGGAGAGAAGGAAAAGGAATTGGTAAGTGGGAAAGTGGACGAACTTGCGTGTGGAGAAGAGGAGGAGAGTTGCCGAATGGACGACAACGGAGACAGACAGCAGGAGGGAAAGTAGGGGGAGGAGGAAAAGGAGGAGTGATAGACATGCGAAAGCATTGTGATACCGTGTAATGGCTTTCATTTCATTGCTTTGTCATCAATCCATCTACATCCACTTTGAACGTAGTCTTTCATTCATTCATGCATTCACCTCTTGCCTTCGTCCATGTCATTCCACCACCTCAATTACCCTTCTTTCTCCTCACACGTTGCTGTTGCGGACAACTCCGTGCGACCGCAGGAAAGTGTCTCAATATCGCATGTGTACGTACAGCTACACACAATGAGCCATTGAGTTAAAAATGTTCAAGCAACTCCAAGCTCCCCTTCTTGTCCTGATGGTGCAAAAGAGAGCAGACCATTCTTTTGAGAAGACGAGGAGGGCTCGCCTCACACACCCCCTTGAAGTTGTGCATCTCGGGAATGGGGGAGGAGGGGAAGCGATTGAATCAGAGGAAGCTGTCCATTCTTCGTCACCTTCGATAGTTGGGAATTGACAAGGTGTGGATGGCAATCCTCTGAAGAGTTGCTGGTTGTCTAGAGCTACCATCGTCTCCTTTCGGCCCTCTGTTGGCACAGTCAAGGCGACGCGGTTATTAACGCATTCTGGAGGAACGTACTACAGTCTCAACAGTTCTCTTGCATCTCTTCGTTCATCCAGTCTCGTGTTGTATCGGTAGAGCATCTTCTAACCTCGGTTACGCAAACGATCTCGCTTTCTGTGCAAACTGTGTTAAACGATTTTTAAGATGCTAGAACAATGTCGGCATGTAAACTGTTTCAGTGCCTTGACGTACTAATGTGTCGTGTGGCGCGACTGTAGATTTCAGCGAGTCAACGATCTTCACCATCTTTCTAATGACTGCTGAACGGAGTGAACACGATAGGGAGCACCGGCAGCAAATTTTTCACTGAAGGTGAGGGAAACTCTTTCTGCTTTCCGATGGGTGTAGTGGATGGACAGATATGTGCAGTCTCCTCGCTGTGAAGTGTCTGACTCCCTACCTCCCCATTCTGCTTCCATTTCCAGGCCAAATCTGAAATTGACGCCTGCGGAATTAACTCTCTCCAACAGTCCTCCGAGTCCCGAAGCCATGTCTGATTCGCCCACTGAATTGCCCTCCACCGAAACCGATGACTCTCCCTCCACTTTCCACAACCTCTATCAACGCACCTCAATGCTGGCATCACCGTTCCCCTCCAAGCTTCAAATTCGCTCCATGGACGATGACGAGGACTTGGCTGTCATCGATCAGGTGAATCGACGTTTGGCATTGGGCCAACTGGAGCCCTCACTGCCTTGGATGCCGGTTCCACCGGGAGCTGGATTGATGGGCTATCCACCACCAACGACAGAGCAGTACTCAGAATCCTTTGCCGAAGCCGTCTTCCACCATCAACAGCAGGAGATGATGTCCTCAATGATGATGTCAGCAGCAACTTCACTGCAAGGTGGACAGTGCTTCTTTCCCATGGAAACCGCCCTTCCAATGTCAGGTGGTGGTGAGGCAGTGCAGTTTGGTCTGGTGAGTTGAAGGCATGGAGCTCCTTAATCCATCACTTTGCGCAGCCATTCGAGGTGCTTTGTTTGAGGAGAATGGAGTGTATCAGTGAACGCCTTTAATGACGCTCAACTGATGACATAAGGGAAGGTTAGCCTTATACTCTATCAGTAAGGGAAAATCAAACCAATTTTCTTGTTTCATTCCCAGTTCGAAACCCTCTTAAATCTTATAAACCCGGCTTGTATTCTGAACGAAGTGATCCACTGAGGTCAGTTTCCCTTTAGACTCTAATCCAGATGTGAAGTTGTTTTAGTGTTCAAGCCTTAACTTGTTGAGTCTCATATCGAAGATTTCGCCTTAGGAAGATTGAACTAAATTTGGTCTTCAAGGAAAGTATAAGCTCTTAAGCAAACCATTAATCAGGTAATCACTGTTATGGCGAATGGACCGACAAACAATGGACTGTGTCGGTGACCCGTCCAGGATCAATAAAGCAGAGTTTTGCGTGCGAGGCGGTAAGCTAAAGTTAAGGATCGGATAAATGTGAGATCGATGGATGATGGGGTTGAAAGATTCGGCAAATGGAGCATGGCAGGGCATGGAGTTGATAAATGGGTGTGGGATGGATGAATTGAATGCTCTAGCATGGATAACACGAAGCAGAGGCGATGAAATGTTTATATTGTTTCATAACTGTGAGTGCTCAGAGGACAGACATCAAAGTTTTCTCTTGCTACTTGTCTTAACACTTTAATTCGGGGTGGGATTAGCTCATAAGCCACCCTCCTTCTTCCCTCTCCTCGTCGCTTAAGGCAACCATTCTTTCTCCCCCTCAATAGGTGCTTTCAAAGCTTCTCTAAATAAATAAACAGACTTGTCAGTGGCATGATTTAACTGTTTAATTTTCACTGTCCAAAGGTCTCCCCCATATGTGAGGAGCACATTATTAAACAATGTCAACATATAGTTAAGGTTTTTTTGGGGAGGGGGCGAGAAAAACTTGAAAGTGATAGTTGGTTCCCTTATCCCATTACAATTCAAACCATCCACTACTATGCCATTCATTTGCAGCAGTAGAGACAAGCAACCCTCGATCTCCTGACCCTAGCAGTTCTTCTTTTGAAGAACTAAAAAAGAGTTTGAAAGGGTAAAATATCCATATAAAGGACCCCTTTAATGCGTCTTTTGATGGCCCATCAAAGTAAATATATTTACATTCCTTTTGTAAATTTTGGCTACGTATATGTACATGTTACTCATTTAATTTACAATTAATATTCGTGATCATTCCATCATTTAAATCTCGATAGTCATTTATTTTACGTTGTTGTCGTGCACAGCTTTTGATTTATATGTCGAAACCCCCCAAAATACATAAATAAATCTTTCTAATGGATTATCCTTTATTTCCAGTTCGTCAAGTGCCTATCCTCATGTTTTCTCGAAATGTAAAATAACTTTCTTAGCTGTCAGTTGAGTGTCGAAAAACACTACCAAGTCAATGTTAATCAACCTCTTTCCTTCCATTTCTAAAATCGCCTTTGAACGCCACCACTGATCGAAGTACCAACGCGTTAAATCTTACTCTGGTAGTTTGACTACCAAAATTTTTGACTGGCGTTACATAAACTGCTGAAAAAAGATTTCCATTTCTGATTGGCTGTAACAGTTAACTCATTCGTCAAAAGCACATCAACGACACAAACGAATAGAAACAGTTGTTTTTTTGCGTTCTCAAAGAGACAGACACGGACATGAGAATGGGGTGGAGAGAGAACGAAAAGAATGAAGTGAGAAAATGAAGCAACTCCAAAAATGGTAATGGGATAGGATTTCAAATTTGGAGGGATGAAGTATTCCACACATCAATTAGTTCTTCCAACATATCGGTTAGAAGACGTCTCAACACACCAAGCTTGCTCTTTGGGCCCATAGAGACTGGAACATCAGGTCGTGGAGACTCGCATTCGTTGTGATCAAATTTAACGTTCCTCCAGAATGCGCTATAACCGCGTCGCCTTGACTGTGCCAACAGAAGGCCGAAAGGAGACGATGGTAGGTCTAGGCAACCAGCAACTCTTCAGAGGATTGCCATCCACATCTCGTCAATTCCCAACTATCGAAGGTGACGAAGAATGGACAGCTTCCTCTGATTCAATCGCTTCCCCTCCTCCCCCATTCCCGAGATGCACAACTTCAAGGGGGTGTGTGAGGCGAGCCCTCCTCGTCTTCTCAAAAGAATGGAGATGGATTGATGATGATGTTTTCGCATGTCTATCGCTTCTTCTCTTCCTTCTCTCCCTTCTCCTCCTCCAACTTTTCCTCCTGCTGTCTGTCCCCGTTGTCGTCCATTCGGCAACCCTCCTGGTGACTGATTCCTTTCCTCTTTCATTTGTGATCAGTTAATTGCAGATGCGAAGCGAAGGGATGTGAAGGGGATGTTAGAGAAGTTAGTGGATAAAATTGTGGACATAGGTGCCTGCGACAAAGAAGGAGAAAGAGATGTACCAACAACCTAAATAAAAGAAGAGAGTACATCGAAGTTGAGGTGCGACAAATTGGTAGGTTGTTTCTGCAGTAAAATTGTTTTCCTCATCTCATCATGTTTTTTTTGTTTTGCTTTTTTAACAAGTATTTTGTGTACAAGGCTTTCGGAAAAGTCAGGACACGCCTGCACTTTTCTCCACCTATCTGACTTAAAAGTTGCTAGTTTGATGTGTATCTGGTCGTTCTCCCACATATCACATTTGGCAGTGGACAGCAGCAAGCTATGAAAACGACACGTAGGTTTCAATTAATCTTCCTTACCCCTCAAGACCCACTTTGCTGCGTCCTCCACAAAAGAACTTTTTTCGTTTCCTGCTGCTTTATTGTCCATGATGACATTGAAGTGGTGTCCAAAACTCCTTCTTAACACAAACTAGTTGAGAGAAGCATTTAATGGCAAAGACATTCACTTTACCTACTTCGTGATCTTCGCATCCTTTGATCTCCCACCTGCACTTCCGATCCGATCTTACGGACAATTGAGCTGACATTCATATTTGACGCTCCCATGTTTGCTGCTCTGGACTCCTAAAGATACCTGCTAGAAACACGCAGTGTATTCCTTTCAATGATGCTATTCGGACATGGTAGTGTGCGTTTTGGTATTTGAAATGTCGAGAAACATCTTCAATAATGCTTGGCGACGTGTAATGGTAAACATAGCAAGGCGCTTTTCGCAACCAATGACGATGAGGACCTCTCTCATCGCCTCTCTATTTGTGACTCGAATCATACCTTCCAAATTGTCTGTCAACGGGTACTGCTAGCTGCAAAAGGACTGCCACGTCTCCAGGACGAGACGACATTCCCTCATCCCCAGTGGACATCTCACCTCGAGACTGAGATCGTGATCTATCAATTTAAACCATCTAATCATTGGGGAAAACTCACTTGCTTGCACAGAAATTCTCATTCTGGAAGGGGAGAGGACAATTGGGGCAAGACGAGAGATGCCGCCTCGTATTCCCTATTCCCTTGGTGGTTCACCCCTATGCCTGGCAGCGCTGTCTTGTAACAGTGGAAAGTAGGAGAAGTGAGATGACAGTGGCTAGGACCACAAATTCAATCATCTATATGATTTTCATTAACGACACTGTGTTATCAGGAAGGAACTTAGAGGATCCAGCTCTACGAGGACAAATATCGTCTCGAAGCAGGTAGAGTTTGGTTATAGAGCCTCATCCTCCACTTCATTCCTCTTATTAGCCTCATATTTGTTCCTCTCTGGAAATTCATCAAGTCGTCCATTTTATTGGCACATTTGGAACTTTGACACCCATTAGATTGCATTGGAGGTGGTACGAAGGTCTACGATCCAGCAGACATTTCAGCCTCTTCGAATTGAGTCACATTTCACATGAGTGCACTATTAACTTCGTTTAGGTGAAGGTCAATCCGCACAGCTAAAAGGAATGTGTTTGAATGCCACACGTCTTTTGCACGATGTTCCTGTTACACGCTGGACTTTACTTCTTCCTGAACACTTTGTATTCATTTTCCTCCGTATGTATGCACCCACTACCTCGTCACTACCTCCACTCATTTGGAGGCGTGAGTGAACCCTGCAAGCTCCGGATGCAAATCTAGCCAAGATGAGAGTAAAATTTAAAGTCTGAATAGCTGAAGACACTTGTGGCAAACGACATTTGATGGTTCTCGCAAAAAGTGGGGGCAGGGAAGAACTTTTGTGTCAAAAAATAATGTTTTGGTCTACCTTTGCATCTAGGACAGTGATAAAGCGGTACTTTCACATCTGTGGTTAGACAATGCGTGGTTCAAACAATAGCACGCAAATTGTTCCATTGTTTGTGGGGATTTCATCGACAATAGTTTGGATGCCGCAAAACTAAATGAAATAGAAAAATTAGGGTTTATAGAGTTTAAAAGGAGGTTTTGTCTTTAGAAGAGACGAATGAGTGTGTGTACGAGGCTAGAATTTCATCGAAGCCATAATCTAATCTTAGAGGGGCCACAGAAGTGATTAGCAGAGAGGTAGGATAAGGTTGAACCAAAGTACATTGTTGTAATTACTTTTGAAAGTAATCGCCTCTTGATCATCACCTCCCACATCGATGTCCTCCCGAGAATGTTTAGTATAAGAAATCCTTGGCCCTCTACACTCAAAAGTAACTCATTGCTGTCTGACCATTGTTATTCAAGCCCACGAATAAGACACATTTTACTGAGCGACTCGTCTTTGCCTAATCAGAACGCGTTTAACGATGGAACCTCTTCTCTTTGGTTCATGTCGCCAAGTCCAGTTCTTCTATGGTTCAGCGTTGAGGGATCTGGATGTCGTTGATGGTTCTATTGTGGTATAAGAGGAGCAAGCCTTTGAAAATACCATTAAAAGACAAGCCATCTGTTGCGTGGCCTAGGGAAGCAATAAGTGGCAGTCTAACCAATCCCCTGCTTTTAGCCGCACTTCCACCAATGGACAGTCGGTGGTAGCCGGCACGTCCGCACGCCTGGAGTTGGCCAGC